GCAGCAAATTCTTCAACAATATTTGCTGTTGTTTGGAACCGAGTGTCCAAGTCACTTATGATCTGGTCCATGGCAGTGAAAAACACAGTGTTACGGAATGTTGTTTCTGGCCTATCCTCCTGACCTGTTCCTTCAGCAGTTTCATCATGAAACCTCTTCCTCCTCCTCTCACGGCAAAGTTCTTTTTTTAAATGAGTGGAACCTCCATTTCCTTAGCTACCATTGATGCTTCAGACAGAATAGCATCCCATCCATTTCTGAGAGTCTGCATCTCATCTCTTAGTGCAGCAACATTACCTGCCTCCACCTCTATTGAGATTTTCCCTGACTTGAGTATCACATTTCTGTCATCAATAGATTGCAATACTTTCACCCAAATGGTGAGAAGGACAATGGCATCAAATGACATGAGGTAGTTCCTCAGACCAACAGCTTCAGATCTGGCCTCACCTGTGAGACTGCATGAGCTCAGTATGGTAGCAAGGGCTTCAATGAGACCAGGTAGGTGCTTTGCTACAGGTTTCACAGAATCAATTCTCGCACTCCAGCGAGTGTCAGATAGCCTATGTACAGAGCAACCTGTTTTCTTTTTGTATATAGACCAACGAGATGGACTGGCACTTACAAATGTGTAGAGGCGGTTAATGTAACCAAAAAAGTTGGACACTTCAGGGCTCGATTCTGCAGCATGCACGCCTACCAGATTCAACGTGTGGGAGGCACAAGGTGAGAAAGTAGCAAGATTATTCTTTTTCAGTATTTGGGCTTGGACTCCCTTGATTTTCCCTGACATATTCGCCTCATTATCATACCCTTGCCCCCTGCAATCACTAATGTCTATCCCTAGATCCAGAAGCACACTCTCCATCATGCCTGCTATTTCACATCCTGTTTTTCCGTTGAAATCTTTGAATTCAATAAATCTTTCAGTGATCTCCCATTCGCCTGTGTCTTCATTATAATGTACATATCTTATGAGCACAACATTTTGCTCGGTGTGGGAAATGTCAGGCGTTGCATCACAAATGATTCCATAGTATATGGCATCCTCCCTTTCCGTCAGAATGGTTTTTAAAACCTTTCCCCCACACAATTCAATAAACTCGTTCTGGATGTCTGGGCTCAGATAATGAGTTAGCTGGCTTCCTTTTTTGGATGTCCTGATTTTGTCTAAGTGGTCTTTCAAGAGTGGATCATATCGTGACAAAAGTTCTAGCGTACCTACAACATTTCCATTGTGGACATCGCCCAAAGCATGCGTTTTACCTCGGAAAGCTAAATTCCTCGTTGCCAAGTGCAGAGTGACATCAAGGAGTCTCTGCAAGATAGCTTTGTTTTTCTCAATTTCAGACTGTAGCTCTCTCTGCAACTGATGATCAACGCCACATGCAGTCATAACCGAACACTGTAGGTGTTTCCATCGCAAATAACAGTCCCTGTGATTCCTACTTGTTTCATGGCTTGGGAATTTATCATACATGCGACGCCACTCGACGTCACACATCTTGTATCCCTGGTCACTACTCAAAGCACTAAGAGAGGGTATTTTTTGCTCCTAGGAGAAAAGAACACATGGTATGCAAAACAGTGCATTTGCACTTTCACTGTGAATCAACCAGTCCCTTTTCACTTTTCCCCTACCCTTATCTGCTTTGGTGTATTTCAAGTAATCTGGAAATCTCTTTCCCTTTGAATCATGTGGAAATTCTTGATCTGTTTCTCGCATTGCTAATTTCTTTACAATAGTTGCCCTGTCCTTGTCACTCATCCTAGCTGGGAACAACCCTGGGTCAAGTGATAGCAGATCTTCTACCTCAGACACCACTACAGGTGGCTCAGTATCTGTGGCATCCTGTGTCGGAGCCTCACTTTGTCCCTGACATTGACTGTCCATAGCTGCTTCCTCCTCATCTGTGCTGCTTTCATGGTCCTCGACCTCTTCTTGTACTGGTACTTCTGCCTCTTCATCTCTGCTCTCCTTGTTGGCTGCCTTGCTCGAGGGCCCTGGCTCTAGAGTATCCATAGTGTACATAATTTATAAAATGCCCTATAATAGTAATAACACAGTACAGCTCGAGCTATCTCTTAATTGTTATAATAATAATAATAATAATCATTTGTATAGATATTTTCCAATTGCTCAAATCTAGCTATAGCTACTGTAACAACCTCAATTTAATGTGCCAGTGGTCAATGGTATTGCAATTATTGGAAGAACTAGAGTAACTAAATGTGAATATTACCTAAAGTTGTATTCAATGCATGGTAAGCATATTTAAAATATGTTTGTTAACCCCAAGCCCTGCTGCTTTACCTCCCTCTCCTTCAACTGGGAGCTGGCCTGAGGGAAGGGGTACTGATCCTGAAGCCGCATCTGTGCATTAGAGCAGATGTGATTAGCATGTAACATTATACAGGTTAGGTTAGCTAAAAGGGCATAGCTGCTGGATACAAATTCACTGGGCTCATCTACACTCATCTAATTTTTGATAGCAACAGGTAGCTAACGTCAGCCACAAAATGTTGGCCAAGCTGTTATGGGCTTCAAAACAAGTTCTGTGAATAAATACCTTTCTTGTGAAAATACTTGGTGACTAGCTGTCGACCTCTTTCATTATTTTCCTCTTGTTGACGTTTTTTCTTTCGTTTCTGAGCTCCTGATTCATGAGCTGTAGAGGACATTTTCCTGTCAGTCTGTTGAAGCTGCAAGCTGCTGGTGCGCTGCTGTGCCGCCTAGTTAGTTGAAAGTGGGGGTGCAAGATTAGTAACTGGCAGGCAAGGGGTGGTTTGGAGTGGGTCAGGCACGACCACCTCCATGGCAGAATTTTTTTAATTTAATGAACACCTGTACGTGCAATTTCCTGCAATATAGAGCACAGAACTGTCTCAAAATCCTATGGGATCCTAAAGGATTCCTATAGGGTTCCAAAAACGTATAGAGATTCCTATAGCATTTTTTGACTAGGGATGTTATCCTACACTTTAAGCTGTCTGATATCCCATTACCTGTAACTCTTGGGTCTCTTTCTCACTTCCTCTGCCTCCTCCCTGAGTCTGCACAGTCACCACATCATTCTACATTAAGGAGAGCAATACACTTATGAGTACACTGAACTGGTTTGAATACACAATCTTTATGCTACTCTCTAAAGAAAGGGAGAGAGGGGGGGATATATTATCCAAGTATTTGTGTCTTAATTTGTTATGTTATCCTACACTTTAAGCTGACTGATATTTCCATTACCTGTAACTCTTGTGTCTCTGTCTCTCCTTCTCTGCCTCCTCCCTGAGTCTGCACTGTCACCACCACATCATTCTACACAGGAGAGCAATAATACACGTATGAATACACTGAACTGGGTTGAATACATGATTTTTTCTTTTTTCTGCCATGTTCTACCTGGCTGGCTACACACACACGCACACACACACACACACACACACACACACACACACACACACACACACACACACACACACACACACACACACACACACACACAGTGTGCATGTTAGTTACAGTAGGAGATGGGCTTCTATCATATTATCTTCTATCATTCTATAATTCATTCTTCTTTTATTTTCATTTCAGGTAGTTGTACCTTAAGAGAATTGAAGGCTGGCATCTGTAAATGCAGATAGATATAAGTACTTTATTCTTATTTTATTATCATTATTTTCTTTCCAATTAAATTAAATCAGAAAATAAGTGGTATATGATGGAAAATATGAGTCAATGCTTGAAGGAAAATGGACTTCGGAAATCAGTTTTGTATTTACTGTTCTGTAAAAGTCTTGTCGAATGTAATGTTTTATGTTTTGTGTGGACCCCAGGAAGACTAGTTGTTGTCATGCAACAGCTAATGGGGATCCTAATAAACTCGAACTCTAATGGGCTTCGATCTACCAGGTAGCTAGCTAGTCAAACACACACACTGGTTGATGTTACTAGCTAGCTAGCAAACGTCAGCTAACCGCTAGCTAACCTGCAATTCAATGCAGCGAAAATGAAGAGAAGGTGATGATTATAAATGTGTTTGATTGTATTGAGTGGTAGAAGTAAAGACATGTCTAACATATTCTTTGTTTGAACAACTTACTGAAAAGGTCTGCCACCAATGACAGACTGGTCGCGGTAGATCAGGACTGCTGTGGGTGGGAGGCAGTTGAACAAACCATTGTGAGCGAAATGCGGGGGGGGGGGGGGGGGGGGGGGGGGGGTCACAATCTTTGGAAACTTAAAAACTCGCTATTAAGTGTCTATAATCAGCACAAGTTATTTCATTGCGTATTATTAATTCGATTGAAATTACATACTTATGTTTACAGTGATATATTGGGGGGGGACATATCATATTTTTCATATGATCATAAAGTGGGGGTGCAAAAGCACACGTTTGCTCCCCCAAGGTCAATTGTGGGGATGCACGTGCTCCGCTTGCTCCATTGCTCAGGCGCCCATACCATGCAATGAATGAAGGGACGGGTGCTCATTCTGTCAAACAGAGTAACAAGCACCTGTTTGTTTCTTTTGTGACGTTTTTTTGTAATACAGGCAATTATACTTTTGAGTCATCTACATTAACTTACTTTAGGATAATAATAAAACCATATTAATAAAAAGATAATAATAGTGTTCTTTGAAGTCAAAATCAGCCCAGAGAGATATTGCCACTTTCTGCTTAAAACGGCCCTTTTTGACTGGAAAATCATCAGAAATGGTTTCAGCAGCCACAATACCCACAAAACTACTCCAAAACGCTCCAAATCGAAAATCCACATTTAGGCCATTATGGTAATAATTGGTAATTGACGCAATTTATGCTAATTGTGCCAATTGCCCAACGTATGCACGTTAGCATGCAGCAGTTTCTATTTGCTGCTGGGGACCCTACTATACAGTACATCTCTAACATAAAATGTTGGGGTACTCCACATTTCCGGGTTCACTATGCTGTAACTAGACTATAAGGTGTGGAAAATGATTCACGACACGTGTGTTTAATATTTATATTTTTACTTTTATACCTCTTCTATATAGAACATGGTGCATGGATTTTAATATTTACCTCAGCATAAAAATCCTGTAGCTTTAAATATTTGTTGAAACTAGCAGATACAAAACATACAATGTGTAATATAACAAACATAAAATGGTTGATAAAAACACATGATATCCTATGTCATATGACAGTATTTGACTTTTTGAGCCTGTGTGTGTGTTTCCTTGACTCGTCCTTCCTCCTCCGGCTGCTGTGGCTCTGCTGCAGCCGGTACGTCCTCCTGGCCTGGACCCGCTCCTGTTCCAGGACCTCGGTGTCGTCCAGGAACTCCAGGCCGGGCAGCTGACTGACCACATACTGCCTGAGGGAGGAGGAGACAACAGGGGGGTAAATGTCTGCTATTTAGGTCAATCACAAGTTTAAAAATGAGCTCAGATTACAACAGCTTGACAGATAAAGAGCAGAACGTTCTGCTGCTACGGTTGTGATGTGATTACACTGTAGCATTATCCCTGGAGAGATTGAGGGATGATGTGTTTAAAAACCTATAATGTATTCTTAGTGTGCACATAACATCATGTCCATTACTTTGTTAAATTAGAGTGGACATTATACATTTTGAAATTGAAGATGACAGTGGCTAGTGCTGACGAACTGTTAACTTTAAGAACTGGTTAAAGGACTTCATAGACATGTCAGTAAGAGGGCTGGAAACGTCTTCAGTCCTCTCAGACCTGATTTATGGACCCTGCGACTTAAAGGCCCATTTAGAAAATAGTCATTCTAAATCACGGTGTCAGACATGATATTGATGGATTGTTGTTGCCCTGAGGAATTTTCTTCACAGTGATATGTTCCCCTCTGTTGGATCAATTTGTTGGTTTAATATTTTCTTGAACTGTATGTTACAGTATGTTGAAAGGGGGACACTATGGGAGATTGGGACTTTCTATAACTTGATTTCGTTCACACCGAAAACATATACAAATACCCATTTAGGAACTTATTTACACACTGTCTATTTGCGTCTCTACGATGTTGCTACATTTGGCGAACGTTAGCATTGGAGCACATTTCATTACATTCCAGAAAACGTTAATACTAAATCATGATTTCTTATTTATTTTCTTATTCTAAGTGTTCAAAGTTATCTGATGAGATTTATCAATGTGTTGCAAAATGTGTAGAATTTTAAAGTACATATATTTAAAAGCTATATTGTAAAAATGAGTTTAACGTAAGAATAATCAACTGGGGCAGATTCATTGTGATATCTATTAGCGTAAAGACTTTCCATATTCTCCTGAAGCTCAGCCTGTATTATACTCATGTTGTGCTGTAGTCTTACACTATATCTTATATTTGGCTTAAGTTGTAAATAAAACAACTGAGACTAAATGTCCAAGTTGATATCAGCTAGATATCTTTTCTTAGACTCCTCTAGCACACTTTTGACAAAACACATCTCTCTCACTGATTAACCACACGGGGGCGCTATAGAACATGTTGGCATGTGACACTTTGCAATGCTTTCTGCAGCAGTGCTCTATGTTTGATGGATCTTTTAAAATGAACATGTTCACTGGAGTTGTCTTCCAGCTCCAGAGAAACATCTGTACAGGGCTGGAAGAAGTACCCAGATCCTTTACTTGAGTAAAAGTACAAATACCATGGTCTTAAAATACTCCACTACAAGTAAAAATCAACATTTGAGACTTCAAAATGTAACTTCACATCAAAATATATTTAAAGTACTCATCCTGTTTTAATTAATGTAAGATCATTTCAGTATTGTAGTTTGTAAATGTGGACCAAATGTAGAAAATGCTGTGTAGATTAGTACTACAGTACTGATACCACATCAGCATTTCATGTGTTTTTATATGTACAAAGTTACCAGTAAAAAGTATGATATTCTCCTCTTGAAAGAAGTGGAGTGGAAGTATAAAGTAGCATTGCATGGAAATACTCAAGTAAAGTACAAATATGTCAAAAATTGTAATTAGATACAATACTTGAGTCCGGCAGTGGCTCAGTCAGTAGGGGTTTGGACTGTGAGAGGACGTGCGTGACTTTGGTCTCAATAGGAAAGAAGTGAATTGTTTGTTTTGTGGAACTCTTTTGTTTCGTCAAACTTATAGTTGTTTTTTTGTTGTTGTTCTGAGTACCCCCCAAACAGCCTTGCTGGCTGGGGGTTTCCCCCGACCTGTGTGTTTTTTCGATCGGATGGATAAACTGGCAAAGAAAACGGGAATGGATTTATCAACTGTGTCACGGATCACGGACATTGACACATTACAGCAGAGTGCGGAGAAGGACGGGACATCTGTGAATGAAAGAGGAAAGGACAATGTCAACGAAAATGCGAATGGACAAAATGAAAAAACAGAAGTAGGAAAACAAAAGGAGGTGAGAGAGGAGTTTGAGTTGATTGTGGAGGAGGAGAAATATAAAAAGGAGCTGACAGTTGTGGTGGCGGTGGAGAGTGGGAAAGCAGTGGTAACTGTTATGGATCTGCTAAAAGGAGTTAAGAAAGAATGTGGGATTGTGATGGGATGTCGGGTTAAAGGAGAGGGCTATATGAAGTGACAATGGCTGAAGAAAAAGGAAAAAATAAACTGTTGGATGGAATAAGAATCAATGGGGCTTTGGTGCGGGGCAGAGACTGCATGGCAAAAGAACTCACGGTGTCATTCCTAAATATACTTTCGTATATATTGGACACTACAATTAAAGGCAGATTGGCAATGTGGGGGGTTCTGCCTGTCTCGGCAATAAAGAGAAGAATGTGGCCCGGCACTGATGTGGTTGATGGGACGAGGTTTCTGAGAGTGGAATTCAATAAGGAAGTGCGGTCACTTCCTTACTCCACAAGGTTCGAGACTCTAGAGGGGCCGGAATACTTTAGGGTGATTCATGACAAGCAAGTACCGGTCTGCAGGATGTGCATAAGGCCAGGGCATTTATTCAAAGAATGGCCTGAGTTTAAATGCCATAAATGTGCCAAGCAGGGACACTATGCCCGGGACTGTGTGACTCGGGAGGAGGGGGCGAGCGGAGCCCGGGGGAGAGAAAGTGCCCAGGCGGAAAACACAGCGGAGAATGGAATGGAGGAAGAGGAGGGTGGAAGTCAGGAAGAGAGTGAAGAAAAGGATATACGTGATAAGGCTGGGAGCAGGATAAACGAGGAAGCTGTGGCTGCTGTCGCGGCGGTGTTTGTGGCGGCTGCTGCAAAGAGAGCGGCTGACGCGGCTGCCATGGATGGTGGAGGAGACGGAGGGAGGAAGAAGGGGAAAGCAGACGAAGGAAAGATGTGTAGTAGCAGAGCCAATACTGCTGCTGTTCCGGCTGCTGCGGATGATGGACAGAATGCGAGGAGTGGTGAAGGTTTGGTTGAGACTGAAGTAGAGGCTGTGGTGGATGTTATTCTGGGGGCAGAAAATGATACCGAGGCTGAAGAGGACGTTGAAGGTGAACCTGATCCTGAGGCTGGAGGAGGAGCTGTCGGTGGGAGGAGAGGAGGAGAAGGAGAAGGAGGCGGAGGACAGACGGCTGAGGGAATGGAGGTCAGCTCGGTTGTGTCGGACATGGAGGAGGGAGGAGACGACGAGGAGAACGAGTCTGAGGACGAGGAGGTGAAGATGACAGGACCCATAGAGGAGAAGATCTTTGGCGAGGCGAATGCTGGGTTAAAGAGCAGAGGGATGAGGAGAGAATCCAGCAGGCTAAATGCAAAGAGGAAAGCCGATAAGGAGAAAGCGGTGGAGAGAAGACGGGTGAAAGCGACAGGAGAAGTTGCAAAGTGTCCGGACAAAAAATAAATAGAAAGAAAACAATAATAACCTTAATAACACTTGTGATGGTGACAATTTCCTCTTTCAATGGAAATGGGCTGAGGTCCAAGGACAGGAGAGAGCAGGCCTTAATGATATGTGACTCAGACATTATTTGCTTGCAAGAGACACATTGGGATGAAAGGTGTGTGGAGGATGTAAGGGAAGAATGGATGGGAGAAATGTATGTAAATAATGGGAGTGTGGGTGCTAGAGGGGTGGCAATATTAATTAAAACAGGGATGGTAACGAATATAAGGAAAGTTAAGGATGATGGTGTTGGGAGAATGGTTGGGATAATGTTTGAATGTATGGGGGAAACATTTAATTTAGTAAACGTTTATGCACCGAATGAGACAAGGAGGAGGAGGGAGTTTTTTGAAGGGTTGAAGGATAAATGTGGGGGGAAATGTATGATTGTTGGTGATTTCAATGTGTGGTGTTCGAAGCTGGATGTGTCTGTGAATATGGGTTTTAATAGTGATTCATCACGTGGTGCACTCAAAACAATAATGGGGACAAATGGGCTGTTGGATGTGTGGAGGGAAAGGAATAGTAGGGAATGTGGGAGAATGTGAAAATTAAGTGGAACAGTATTGAATGTGATCATTTTGATTTTGTGTTGAGGCATAATAGGGTGTTTAACAACCTGATCATTAGTCATTTTGATGCAACTGTTGAGAGAGAGTGTGATGTGTGTAAGGATCAGGTTGAAACGTGTTTGCATGAGTTTGTTGAATGTAAAGAGCTTGTTGTTGTTTTTGGAAGGATGAAAGAGTTAATTGGTAGATGTTGGAATGAATGGTATGTGAGAGAAATGGAATGGAAGGAGCTGTGGCTGTTTGGTGTGATTGAGAAGAAGGATGAATGCAATGTGAATCTTTTAAATTATGTTCTGAGCCATGCAAGGCGTGCGGTCCAAATAAGGAGGAACATTGCCCATTTCGAGGGTAAAATGTCAGAGGTGTGGCATATAATGAAGAGGACAGTAAAAAGGGACATTAACCTTGTGCTAATACATGTGGAAAAGGACACATTTTGCGAGGATTTTGTGGATGGCAGCATGCTAGTTGAGATGGATGAGGAGGGAGCATTGTGCTTCAACTTTGAACGGAAAACTTAAGGCACACTACCTTTAAGCTAGTGGTATGAAATATTGAATGTGTGTATTATGAGCAATGCTTTATGTAGTTGTGATGAGATGTTAAATGTCTATTTTTGATAAGAAAACAGAAAAAAAAAAGTAGGGGTTTGGACTGTGAGCCGTAGGGTCGCCGGTTCAAGTCCCCGACCAGACCTAAAAAAGGAGTGTGGACTGCTTCTTGGAGAGGTCCCAGTTCACCTCTTGCCCTGCCGTGGTGACCTTAAGCAAGGCACCCTTCTCCCCTCACTCCCATTGCTCCCCGGGCACTGTGCAATAGCTGCCCACTGCTCCTAGTACTAGACTCCTGGTACTAGGATGGGTTAAAAGCAGAGAACAAATGTCACTGTGTGTGCTGTGTGCTCTGCATGCGTGACCATTAAAGAGGGTTTCATCCCTCCCAATATTATTATATTATAAAAAACATTATTATTATTGAGTACTGTAAATGTACGTCATTACTTTCAACAACTGCATCAGTTGTTTGGTTCTTAAAAACCTCATGTTGGATTAGATTGCATATTAGCAGGGTTATTACTCAGGAATTTAGAAACGAGAAGGTCATAAATCCCCCCTGAAAACTTCTCTCAAATGAGTATCACACTGCTTAGTTCTTAAGTTGGTTAATACATTTCATAAAGAGACATAGGCTTCCAAAGTGAAGGGCTCTCTCCACGTGCCTGATCTGGAGGAGAAACCCTGTCTTTAATTTTCCTATTTTTGGTTTCTGTTGCCATAAGAGATTTCAACTTCAAAACTTAGATTTAAAAAAGGAAGATTAGCCAATAAAACATACGTCCAAGCTGCTATAAAACCTGATTCCTGGAGTTTACAGGGGTAATTATTGCAAAGAGGCTCCAAAGTCAGATGAAATAGTTTGGCCATTAAAATGCTTTTTGATTCGATTTCTAGCGAGAAGTGTATATTGTACTTTTAGAATCTACGTCCAGTGGATGTGTAGGATCTATTGTTTGATAGATATTACGAAGATGATTTGAGGTCCCGCCACGTGTACTACGTCTTTACGCAGCGTCCATGTAAAAGTTGGCGTCAACTCTCACGGGGTGAAAACAGTATTTCAATCAACCTATTTGGTCGTAATAAGGGCCTGAACAATCGACCTATTTGGTCGTATGAGTTGGAGGACTTGTTGAATGTGTATTATTAAAAAAATTGCCACTTTGAATGAAGAGTACTTTTAGATCAGGAACTTAAGTATATTGCTGCTTATACTTTCATACCTTTACTTAAAGGTCTCCTATCATTCAAAATGCACTTTTTGATGTCTTTTATACATAAATATGTGTCCCCGGTGTTCGGAGGACCTGAACAACCACCGGCCGATCTCAAACCTTCCATTCCTCATTAAAATCTTGGAAAGAGCAGTTGCCGCACAACTGCAACACCACATGTCATACCATGAGCTCTATGAACCCCTTCAATCTGGCTTCAGACCCCACCACAGCACAGAGACTGCCTTCATTAAAATCACAAACGACCTCCTCATCACATCTGATTCTGGCCTCATCAGCATTCTCATCCTCCTGGACCTCTCTGCAGCCTTCGATACCATATCTCATACCATCCTCCTCAGCCGCCTGTCTGACTACCTTGGCCTCAGTGACACAGCTCTTGCCTGGTTCGAGTCCTACCTCTCTAACAGGAAACACTTTGTCACCATCAGTGACTGCAGCTCCCCTCCGGCCCCAGTCAACCAAGGTGTGCCTCAAGGCTCTGTGCTTGGACCCCTCCTTTTCACCATCTACATGCTCCCACTTGGTCAAATGCTGATGTGATTATGCTTCTTGCCACTGCACAAATGGCCTTCTGTATTTATATTTGAATTGTATGTTTTTTGTTTAATGTCCTTGTTTTATGTTGAAACTTGTTGTGTGCTGTGTTGGTCAGGACTCCCTGGAAGAAGAGATCTTGTATCTCAATGGGACATTCCTGGATAAATAAAGGATAAATAAAAAATAAATAAAAATAAATCATCCGCCAACATGGTCACAGCTTTCACTCTTATGCTGATGACACACAGCTCTATCTCTGCACCAAACCGTCCACTCAGCTCCCCCCTCAATCTCTTGTCAACTGCCTACAGGACATACAAAACTGGATGTCATCAAACATGCTCAGAATCAACAGCAATAAAACAGAGCTCATGGTTGTGGCTCCCAACCAAGGCGCAGCTCTAGAAGGTTGGAGACCTGCTTCTCTCCATTGACGGCTGCTCCATCTCCACGTCCACTGAAGTCCGCAACCTGGGAGTCATCCTGGACACCACCCTCTCTTTCCAGGCGCACATCAAATCTGTTACCAAATCCGCCTTCTACCATCTAAAAAACATTGCCAGACTCCGGCCTTCACTCTCGGACTCTGTGGCAGAAACACTTGTACACGCCTTCATCACATCCCGTCTGGATTACTGCAATGGAGTCCTGTCCGGGGTTCCCAGCAAAACCCTGGACAGGCTCAAGTACGTCCAGAACTCTGCCGCCAGGCTTCTCACCCGCACCAAGCCATGGCAACATATCACCCCCACCCTCATCCACCTACACTGGCTGCCGGTCAAGTCCCGGATTCAGTACAAAACACTCCTCCTCACGTACAAGTCCCTCCTTACCCTCGCCCCCCAGTACTTATCGGACCTCCTCCATCCCTACACCCCTTCTCGGAGTCTGCGGTCCTCAGACACGGGCCTGCTCTCCATCCCCCGCTCTCGCCTCCGAACATTTGGTGACAGGGTGTTCAGTGTTGCTGCCCCCACCCTCTGGAATGCACTTCCTGCCGAGATCCGTAATGCTGCCTCCCTGGACATCTTCAAATCATCATTAAAAACACATCTGTTCACCCTGGCCTTCGGGCCCTAGCCCTTTTTTGGTCCCCCGGCTTCCTTTATTTTTTGTTTGCCCTTTGATTGTCTGTTTGTTTTGTTTGTCCACCATGTACAGCGACCTTGGGTCCCTTGAAAGGCGCTATATAAATATAATTTATTGTTATTATTATTATTAAGGAGACTCACAAAGTGTCAGAAAATAAAACCCCCTCTATTTTCCTCCGTACCCAAATCTCTAAAAACGGGGGAACAACGGAGCTGATCCAGATTAGCTGCCGATATGACGTAATATCTGAAATGTGGACCCACGGCCCTATCACAAACGTCACTGTATCAGAAACAATGCGCAACGTTTTGGACGTAATATGGTCTGTGTTTACATTAGCAAGCATCGCTAACACTCAGAGCTAACCTGTACTGGAGAGAACTCGTGTAAAAAGCAGGAAATAAAAAAAGGAACTCACCTTGTGGTAAACCCGCGAGAGAGAAAGCATTTGAGCTCCATACTGTTTCAGAAATAATCCTTGATGTGGTTTGGAACATGATATGGCGTTTCATCACGGCAGCATTTAGCTCCCACCCCCTTTTTTTTTTTTCAAAGCTACGGACCCAGAATCAGCACTTTAGTAACAGGGCTGAAATAGAGGGGTATGAGGCATGCGATCTGTTTGGTATTTTGAGCAAAACATAGACATGTTTTATATATTTTATATATCTGAGACCCATAATATATGCCTAAAAACAGCATGAGAGGAAACCTTTAAGTATCATTTTGAATGCAGGACCTTTACTTGTAACAGTATTTCTACACTGTGGTATGTGTACTTTTACTAGAGTATAAGATGTAGGTACTTCTTACAACACTGGTAAAAAAGGGCCTATGCTCACCTGTAGTCTGTGTACTGGGTCAGACTTCCTCCATTGAAATAGCTCGGTGCTGCCTCGTTGTTCATCATGCTGAGGATCCTGTTGGAGAGAGATATGGAATCAGAATGCGGCGAGGAATGAAACCTCCCTGTATTGAAACAGGGCTCCAGGCTCACTTGATGTTGGGGAACTTCCTCCGGATTTCCTCCACGAACACGGGTAGGTTGTTGATGTTGTTCTTGTTGATGCACACAGTGGTGACGCTGGCCATGAAGGGGAACTTGATGTGGGAGGTGTAGTTGTTGCAGTTCAGGATCAGAGTGCTCAGCTTCTCCAGCTGCCCCAGCAGAGCCGGGTTCCAATACACACTGAATGAAGGACAACACACTCACACTGCGCAGGTTGCTACCGTTTAACACAGAGCTGAGCTTGGATGGAGAAAATGGATTACTGCAAAAACTAAAATTGAATGTTTTTTAAAGAATATATAAGCCACTGCAAGACATAGCTGGTAGTAGTTCCCACCAGCTATATCAGTTTGTTCTTACATGGCAAGATTTCATAAATGTGTCTTTAGCCATGGTAGCAGTGTGGCTTTCCATATAAAGTAGCTAGTAACTAAATAAGTGGAAACAATTGAGTAAATGTAGCCTCTAAATAAATGTAGTAAGGTAAAAGTATAGAGTAGCATAACATGAAAATACTCAAGTGAAGTACAAGTATCTCAAAATAAATAAAGTAATTGAGTAAATGTACCTAGTAATATTCCACTACTGTCTTGTGTAAAACTTGTTTTTCTACAAATGATTCCCAGTGAAGCATGGTTTCCTGTTAAGCAGAGCGGTGCAGTGACCATTGGTGAGGTCGCAGACAGAGGGGGAACAAAGGAACAGGGAGGGGTTCTCTGGTCTTACAGCCTCTGCTTGTTATAAAAGGATACTCATCCAGCAGGTTGTTGCTCAGGTCCAGCACCTCCAGGGTGTCTGTCTGTGGGAGGATGGCTTCATATGGGATCTCTGTCAGTGCCTGGTAAGCAAAGGAAAGCCACTGGAAGCTGGAGGGGCTGCTCTGGCTGAGGTGTTAGGATCCATGACAGAACCCTCAGCAGGGAACCCTCTCCAGTTCCTCTCCTTCTCGCTTTGATAGAGATTAGGAGAGTCAGATGATTATGTCATGATAAGACCTTGGTATAAACAACATAACAATGGATGTTAGTAGAGAGGAATGACTCACAGTCTGATGATACAGAAAGTGAAGATATGTTGGTTTGATTTCATTATTAGATGAGTAGAACAAATGACATATTTTAGTCTAAAGGCTTACAGCATGCTGCATTTAGAAATGCACTGTACAAAGGGTTAACATAACAATATTACAACATATTCAATGCACTCACACTACAATAACACAGACAGCATTTCATGTGTGCATTCAACACATGTGGAATTATCCACATTATCGTACTCCTTACAATATTAAAGGGCCCTAATCCTGCTGATGTCAGTGTATATCAGTAGTGTAGTGTCTCTACTTTAAAGAGTCCTCTCCTGCTGATGTTCAGGTGTATATCAGTATGTAGTTGTCTCTACTTTAAAGAGTCCTCTCCTGCTGATGTTCAGGTTGTATATCAGTATGTAGTGTCTCTACTTTAAAGAGTCCTCTCCTGCTGATGTGTCAGGTGCTATATCAGTATGTAGTGTCTCTACTTTAAAGAGTCCTCTCTGCTGATGTTCAGGTGTATATCAGCATGTGTAGTTCTCTACTTTAAAGAGTCCTCTTCCTGCTGATGTTCAGGTGTAATATCAGTATTAGTGTCGTCTCTACTTTAAGAGTTCTCTCCTGCTGATGTTCAGGTGTATATCAGTATGTAGTGTCTCTACTTTAAAGAGTCCTCTCCTGCTGATGTTCAGGTGTAATCAGTATGTAGTATCTCTACTTTAAGAGTCCTCTCCTGCTGATGTTCAGGTGTATATCAGTAAGTAGTGTCTCTACTTTAAAGAGTCCCTCTCCTGCTGATGTTCAGGTGTATATCAGTATGTAGTGTCTCTTCTTTAAAGAGTCCTCTCTGCTGATGTTCAGGTGTATATCAGTATGTAGTGTCTCTACTTTACAAGAGTTCCTCTCCTGCTGACGTTCAGGTGTATATCAGTATGTAGTGTCTCTACTTTAAAGAGTCCTCTCCTGCTGACGTTCATGTGTATATCAGTATGTAGTGTCTCTTCTTTAAGAGTCCTCTCCTGCTGACGTTCAGGTGTATATCAGTATGTAGTGTCTCTACTTTAAAGAGTCCTCTCTCTGCTGATGTTCAGGTGTATATCAGTATGTAGTGTCTCTACTTTAAAGAGTCCTCTCCTGCTGACGTTCAGGTGTATATCAGTATGTAGTGTCTCTACTTTAAAGAGTCCTCTCCTGCTGATGTTCCAGGTGTATATCAGTAGGTAGTTGTCTCTACTTAAAGAGTCCTCCCTCCTGCTGACGTTCAGGGTGTATATCAGTATGTAGTGTCTCTACTTTAAAGAGTCCTCTCCTGCTGATGTTCAGGTGTATATCAGTATGTAGTGTCTCTACTTTAAAGAGTCCTCTCCAGCTGATGTTCAGGTGTATATCAGTATGTAGTGTCTCTACTTTAAGAGTCCTCTCCTGCTGACGTTCAGTGTATATCAGTATGTAGTGTCTCTACTTTAAAGAGTCCTAAAGGGAAAGAGAATACACCGAAAAGCAAAATAGGGGTCATTTAAGAGATCAGTTAGAAACTATTGGGGGGATTGGCTTGTAAAGAAAATGTTAACATTATATTCCGATCTGAAAAAATACTTCTATAGTTATTTTTTTAAAACCGCTTCAGTAATGAAATTTGAAAACAAAATGTTTCTTAATTACATTTAATATATTACACATCACATTTACATAATACATGACATGATATATTATAGATGAGTCGTGGCTGTTTTTCTGAAATAAGAATGATACTATAAACATTTTGTGAAAATGCTTTTTTCCAACAGTAACATAGAATAAACTGTAGATACACAGCTGGATTTTGAGCTGTGTATTAGAAGACTGGAAGGGGGGGGAGACACCAAGCATTCGACGGAGCGTTGACCTCTTAAACTGCAGCCACAGGGTGTGCTACGTCACCTGAAGGCCTCTTTCATCTAAAATGTACTAAGGATTTTACTATGGAGTAAATGCTGGGACTGACATTTAGGTGAATATAAATTAAACTAGGGTTGCACTTTGTATAAAGTACAGAGGGTTCACATAACAATATTAAAACATAATCAATGCACTCACATACTATAACACAGCAAAAGATTTCCAAGCAAATAACTGCTGCATGGCATTCAAGAGATGTGGAACCAAGTTACAGCTTTCCTTAAACTATTAAAGGGCCCTTTCTACTCATTTTCAGGTTCATATTAGTATTTTGAGCTTCTTCTGTGACATGTCTCCATGCTTAAAAAGCTCTTCATTTTTCAATTCAGTCTAGTAAAAGTATAAATTATTTTAGTCACGGCCCCATGCCTTCGACACTGTAGAGTAAGTGAGCTTGCAACTATATTGTTCTTACCAGCAAACATAATGCATTCCATAAAAAGGTGGTGAATGCTAAAGGTTTCAAAGACTTTCCTCTAACTGGCGTACAAAATGCATCTGTTAGGAACACATTTTGATCAATTACTCAACCATAACATGTTTGCCATTATCATAAAATGCAAATATTTCAGTTTGTCCGGGTAGTCTGTAAAACACTAACGTTAAATCTATCCTCAGCATGCACATTCATCACGTATAAATCTGTTAAGTTGAAGCTTGACTTACCGAGCTGAAGAGGCTGTGTGTTTTGGCAGCATGCAACCCTCTGAGAAGCTGCTCAGAGGCACAGATAAAAGGCCCTCTTTCATACTGCCGTGGTAGATCACATGATGGGGATAATCACATTGCTGCTTGTGGTTCACAGGACCACGTCCACCAGCTCTAAAGAGCAATGTTGAATTCTCAAAAAGGAAAACCAGCTTTCAACCATGAAGACACGTCAACATTTAATATTGTTTCCACTGTACCTAATGATGGAAGAATTATCATAAACAATGACATACTGTTTAGACTGAAAAGAGCATGGTCTCTATAATTAAGATATTTTTGGAGTAAATGTTCACAATGACACTTACAGATCCGAACAAAGAATTGAGAAAGAAAATGTTATACAATACAGATTTTATTTTGTCTTGTCAATACTGTAGGGATTGTTTTGAACTGTTTAACCTGTAAACATTAGACCCCTTTAAAACACATTAATTCAAACGAAAGAAAAATAGAAAAAAAGAAAATCCACTATAGCTTAATTTTATACAATCAAACTATGATTTCATTTGACATTTATTTGAGGTTTTTGTCTGGTCACACTGCCAAATTCAGTAAACACATCTCTGAATAAAATAATGAGGTTGACATAATCTTTAGAGAAATTAAGAGCTAAAGCTAATCTTCATACTGTCAAATAATATTGAAACAAAGACAGAATTTCACAAAGTGGATGTTTTGTCCATGTCCTGTATTCTGTTGTTCTCTGTTCCCACAGCACAAACTTATATTTTGGAGTCAGCAAGTCTGGAAAATAGACTGAATACATTTAAAAAAACGTCTTGTGAGCTTTTCATACGGTTTTAACAATACGTTCAGTGGTTAATTTGAATAGATGCCGTGTAAACAATGCTCTTAGTGTAGCACGTTACTATAAACAGTTAGTCATAACAATAAAATGATATGAACATTTCCAGGAAAGTTCCCTCCGGTATTGCAGTTTAAATGTCCCGAGGATCAGTCCTTCCCCTTCTGAAACACCACAGTGGCTCATGGCTGTGATGCTGCACACACTGTAGGATCAAGTTCTTTTGGAGCACACGAAGCGATGACCTCTGCCCGTCTTGCAGTCCCTGATCTGCCACTTTGCCCTTCTCCCCACCAGGATGCACTTTTTGTTTCCCTTCATTTTGGACCGAGGGGGGGTCTTTCTCCAGCTGGTGTAGCTGAGCGGCTCTCCCCCCGCCCACTCCCAGCGCCCTCGGCCTTCCCTGTCATTCAGGCCTGAAACAGAAGGACAGAAACAGCCAGTTAGAGGGTTTCAATTATGCTCTGAAAAACTTGAACGTTGACTTTAATTAAATGTATTATGTCAACAGATTCCAAAAATAATACATGTATGTGGAATCTGTTGACATAATACATTTAATTAAAGTCAGCGTTTCAGTTTTTTCAGTGTGCTCTAAAATGAAAAAAACTAGGAGAACGAAAGATTTATGTGTAGCATAGGGCTAATCAATTTGGAGTATTTCAAATTTCATCCATCCATCCATCTTCTCCCGCTTATCCGTGGTCGGGTCGCGGGGGTAGCAGTTCCAGCAGAGAGCCCCAAACTTTCTTTTCTCTGGCGACATCAACCAGCTCTGACTGGGGGATCCCAAGGCGCTCCCAGGCCAGCGAAGAGATATAATCCCTCCACCTGGTCCTAGGTCTACCCCTTGGTCTCTTCCCAGCTGGACGTGCCTGGAACACCTCCCTAGGGAGGCGCCCAGGTGGCATCCTAACTAGGTGCCCGAACCACCTCAACTGGCTCCTTTCGACGCGAAGGAGGAGCGGCTCAACTCCGAGTCCCTCCCTGATGACCGAACTTCTCACCTTATCCCTAAGGGAGACCCCAGCCACCCTGCGGAGAAAACCCATCTCGGCCGCTTGTATCCGCGATCTCGTTCTTTCGGTCATGACCCATCCTTCATGACCATAGGTGAGGGTAGGAACAAAAATGGCCCGGTAGACAGAGAGCTTTGCCTTCTGGCTCAGCTCCCTTTTCGTCACAACGGTGCGGTAAAGCGACTGCAGTACCGCTCCCGCTGCTCCGATTCTCCGGCCCATCTCACGCTCCATTGTTCCCTCACTCGAGAACAAGACCCCGAGATACTTGAACTCCTTCACTTGGGGTAAGGACTCATTCCCCCTACTTGAAGTGGACAGTCCATCGGTTTCCTGCTGAGAACCATGGCCTCAGATTTGGAGGTGCTGATCCTCATCCCAGCTGCTTCACACTCGGTTGCGAACCGATCCAGTGAGTGCTGAAGGTCACAGACCGATGAAGCCATTAGAACCACATCATCTGCAAAAAGCAGTGGTGCAATCCTTAGTCCACCGAACTGCAGACCCCCTCCCCCATGACTACGCCTCGAAATCCGATCCATGTATATTACAAACAGGATTGGTGACAAGCGCAGCCCTGGCGGAGGCCAACCCTCACCGGAAATGGTCCGACTTACTGCCGAGGACCCGGACACAGCTCTCGCTTTGGGAGTACAGAGATTGGATGGCCCTGAGTAGAGACCCCCTCACCCCATACTCCCGCAGCACCTCCCACAGTAACTCCCTGGGAACTCGGTCATACGCCTTCTCCAAGTCCACAAAACACATAATATGTTTGACCAAATACCTCAATAGACAAATGCAGCCTTTAAAACCAGGAAAGTACAACACTTCATTCCATATAATGATATCAGGAACCTATGACAAGTCTTATATCAGGATATATATTATTGATATATCGCCCAGCTCTAGTGTAGCATCAAGTGATCGAAAGATACCCACCAATCCAAAATGGTTTCCTTCCTCCAAAGTCCCAAAGCCAGTCCATGTCCAATTTAGAGATAACGCTTGCTAGAGTGCTTTTATATCTGTAATAAAAAATACAAGTGGGAGAGTTGTGTATTCTAAAGGATAGTGCATACAATTCAAATTATATCGTTTTTATGTGTGACAGACAACTTATCAGAAGCATGTATATGCACGCTCTAGGCCTAATTTTCCCTGTGTGTTTTCCATTAGCACACTGATCATACCTCTCCCTGCAGGCCCTGTTGGCTGCGCCCCATGTGACCTTGTGCTCAGTGCTGAGGCTGTAGCAGTGGCCACTGTGAAAGGTCCAGCCATGAGGACACTTCTGACCACTCATCATCTGTGTGAAAGGGGCAAATATGTTGTCATTTGTAAATAAACATTTCATTCACTTAATTAGGAAATCATTTTAGCGGTCCATCAACATCTTTCAAGCAAAATTGTCAAATGATTCACAAAATTATTTACAAACATTTCATATGGAAAACGGAGATCCACAGGGTTCTATCCTAGATCCACTAGTTTTCAGACATTAACATCATTCATTTGGAGAATTCTTTTTTGATTTTCATCGCTATGCTGACAACACTGAATGATATACTTCTCTATTTCCAAAAGGTTCAAGCAATACTTTAATTGTGATCAAACTTTGCAACTTTATATAAGGAACATAAGTAGAACATAATTGTATGATTTGAAAATATTGTCACGGTCAGACATCTTCTCACCAGAGATACAAAGAAGTGCATTAAAGTGTGTTTCTTTGTTGTGGAGTTTTATTACCTGATCATTTGGTGCCCAGGGTTTCCAGGAGACACCGTTGCAGTGAAACAGCTGATTGGTGGTCTGGTTGAAATGCAGGAGTCCAATCAGTTCTGGTACACAGGGCTTGGGTACAGAGTTATCAACCTGTGAGCCGTACAAAAGTACAGGAACATATGTTTAGTTCTGCTTTGCAATATGTTTTACCACAATCATCAATCCTAAAACTGTGGAAGTACTGAGTAGGACATAGAAAGTATCAAACGAGTTAAGGTCATTATATAGCATATCCCTACATCAATACCAAATTACATCCAGGAAAAGTGACAAGAAATGACCAAAAATAACAGTGACAATTATGGATGAGACTGAAGCAGTTCTGAAGTTGAGGTAAGGGAGAAAATATCTCAACCTGTTATTGTAGCTGTTCCTAACATCTGCCTCTTTGTCACAAAAAAAGATAAGTCATTCAATACTCGTTGCTAAGGGGGAAAGAAATCCCTTTCTTTCGAATACTAGAACAGAAATAAGCAACCATGAACACAATATCAAACCAAAGGAATGCAGTGAAACAAACGGCAATTTTAGGATTAAGCAACTCCATGTGGCTTCAAGGCAATTGCTGATTTAAAATGACACATTACCCAAGAGGCAGAAGAAGACTAACTTTGTACTCACTGGTCCTTCAGCTGCTGTTTTTTGAGGTTTAGAGATCTTTGTTTTAGGATCTGATTTGGACTTAGTAAACACAGCTGGCCCCTGCTGCTGTGCTCCTCTGCTAACCACACGGATGTTTGCCTTTCTTCCCTTCCTTGACGGGGTGGTGTCGTCCTCTACTTGCATTTGCATGATGCCATGATACTGTAATAAAAGAGACAGCAGGAATAAAGAAGCCCTATCATTTGTCTCTTTCTTGTAGTCTGTTCTATAGGATTTTGTGCATGCCCCCCTGCCTGAAACCCCTCCATTCGATTCCTTTATTTACTTCAATAACATAGGGACATCACTAAGTAACAATTGCTCTTCTATTGCACTCTGCTAGTGCTCTTAGCTCTCTTAGCAATTGACCAATCACAACAGAGCCGGCCAGCTAACCAAACAGAGCAGACTGGGCTCTGGTTTCAGACAGAGGGTGAAAAGAGGTGCTGCCAGAACCTGAAAATTAGCATTGTATGGTATCTTTAAGACTTTTCTGACTTATACTGTCCGTTACGATGATCTGCTGCTGCGTACCGTGTAAACAGTGTCTGTCCCGTTGTGGAACACTGACGATGGGGTAATCTGAAAATGAAACAGTAACAGTTTTAAGCTGGAAAAAGTGAAATGCCTACTTGATACAGTTACATATAGTTCTGATCTTTAAGAACAGGGGCTTACAGATTTTGGATTGTCCAGAACTTTGAGTTTCTTTCTTGGCCGATCTGCAGCAGGCCTGGATAAACTGTCTCCACGGCCCCAGATGATTGATTCTGTTCCCAGGGGCAGTTTCTCCAGATGAATGGA